AAAAAAAAAAAAAAAAAAAAAAAAAGAGAAAAAACAACAACAAAAATTGCATTTTCTATGTGAAAATTCCAGTAGGTACAAGGAGGAAAGATGGCCAAATATTTCATACTCAGGATTTTTAATTACTTCCCCTAGGCATAAATATAACCTTTTACATCTATAGTCACTTGTTAATAAATTCTCATGACCAGTTTTTAAGGAGATTTATACACCGAAAATATTTTTAATGTAACTGAAGGAAGTACAGTGCAAGAAAACTAAGATGTTTTTCTTTCCCCTACAAATTATGAAAGGAAGAATGTGTGTGGTAACTGTTGGTTTGCGAGACATAACAGGTACCCTGTGCATTCCCCAAAGAGCATATACTTCTCATCTGAACAATTTATCAATCTTGTGGTGTTTTCTGTATTTTTGAAGCAAAATAAGTACCATTGTTTACACTGTGTACACTTTAGGCCAGCCCTTTGTAGCAAAATACTAAGCTGAGGGTATTTTATACTTTCAGTTTACATAAAAAGCTTTGAGATTAAAGAGAAACAATTTTACACTGTGGTTATAAATTTCAAGTTTCTTAAAGCTTTTTTAGACTTGTGACAGAGTCTTTAAATTTTAGTTGGGTTTTGTACATTATTTTGTATATTTTATTTAAAGTACTCTTAACTGATGTATCTGGATTTAAAACGTCAGAAGCAATTAGGTGTTACATTTAATACAGATGAACATTAGGTAGTATTAACTGTTAATTTTATTATAAAGGAAATGAAACGTCAAAGATATATTTTATCATTATGCTTCACAATCAGTGCTCTACATTACTTTATGCAAAGAAGAACTTTCCTAACGTTAATATCATATTTCCTAAAAGTTAACAGTTTTGTAAACTGAAGTTACAAGCATTCTGCACAACCATTTCATATGTAATTTTTTCATGCATACTTATGTATGCAGATAGGAAACTGAAGTAATTTTTAATCTGCAATGAATCCCTATTATAGATATTTCCAAATCTAAATCTGGTTGGCTTCATAGCATCTCAAGTACATTAACTTGTGTTAGCAGGTGCACATTTTACCGCTGGAATTAGAAACATTCTGCCAGTCTGTTCTGCATACCATTCTGAATCCACTTTTCTGTCTTAAAAGGATCGTAAATTTCAATGTCCTTTATTTGACTCAGTGGGATATAGCTGTTGTAAGTAATAGGGCACAGATGTGCAGTAGTATCTTGTTTAATGGCATTTCACTGTTCATTCCCTTTGCCACCATTAAAAATTTTGCTTTATTGTAATTATCAGTGCAAAGTGTATTTACCATGGTAGAACTCCAGTGTTAGAATAGTTTTTTTCTTACAATATACTTTCTTTGGTTAGGTTTGTGTATGTGTTGCCGATTACATTAGCAATTGGTGTTAAGTCATTATTTATCACATTCTTTCACGAGAGCAGTAATAAAAGTGTGTAATCTAGGAGAAAAAGTTAATTTGTCAAAGTTAAGTAAGCATGATGTTTAGGTCCTATTTTTCAATTTTATAACTGTTTTATTGCAACAATATTTGTATTTAAGTCTTCATTTTAATGCCTTGTGGTGTTTTTTTATGCATGTCACTGAATTGTCATCCCGCAAGAATTGATGTGCAGCATAGGGTATTAAATCTACATAATGATTTTGAAACAGAAAAATAGTTGATGGTAAAAATGTAAATGTTTTGCAAAAATTCCTTATAAAAAAAAAAAGTTTTGTAGTAATATTTCACTTGTAAATTTTTCTAAAAAAAAACGGAAAAGGAAAAAAATGAGAGTAACGTTTCCCCACATGTAGAATTTAGAAATTAATTCTGCCAGCAAAGCCTGTAAGGCATTAATCTGACACTTTTACAATGCTGATTTGTATAATTTTTTGGTGGGTTTGGAACTAAAATCATGTACAAGTTGTTGCCTGCAATAATATTTTGCAAGTAACCTATTAAAATTCCCTTGAGTTTAAAAGGTTTCTTCATTTAATTGCTTACAATATAAAGCAGCAATAAATTATGTTTGTATGATAATCTGTTCATCAAGAAGAACACTAGAAAACAAATGCTTCTCAATGGGGAAAGGTTGGCAGCAGCTTCTGGATTTGTGTAATTAAGACCTGTACTTGCTGGTCAGCATTTCCCAACTGGCAGACTCCCAGCAGGGAATTAAACCAGCATATTCTAGCTCAGCATGAATTCTGTGGGGTTTGTTCAGCTCTTGCTAATGGAAGCTACGGTTGTTCCTAAATACACCAAAGGAATATTTCCTCTTTTTTTTCCAAAGGGAAAAATTTCCTAAGGTAAGGAATATGTATACACACACGCAGACACACAGATGAAATACAAAGTTAGAAAATGGAAGATAATTCAGTTTGACAAAGATAAATAATAGAACTGTCACTTTATTGCACACAGGGAGCAATACAACAAATAAATGGAAACCTGAAAGTACTGACTTCAACTCATAGAAAATATATTGAGCTTTCTTAGTGGAAGTCGGCAGGCTCCTGCATTGTGTTATACTAAAATAACTTTCATGGTATGCCAAATTGCTAATGATATTGTTATACTAATTTTTTTAAATGCTAAACGTTTTTATGCTAGATTTTACCATACTTTTGCAGTGAATAAGTAGTGCTGTTTCACAAATGAAGAAATACATAGAGAATCACAGGATCATTTAGGCTGGAAAAGACCTTTAGCATTGTTGAGCTCAAGTGAAAAGTTAACACTACAAATGCCACTACTAAAATAGGTCCCTAACCACCATATATACACATATGAAGGCCACTTTCTTCCAATTTCCAAAAGAAGATGAATTTTTAATTCAGGATTCTAACCTCGTACAGCAAAACAGAATCATCTTTCCTAATGGAGATATAAAATACATTATCTTCATTATGTGCTTGATTAAATACCTGTTACAATCTCAGTAACCTCTATTTGAATGTCAAACTGCTGAACTCAGCCTATGTCATCATTCAAAGTAAATGGACATCTGACCAACTAATATGTCTTTATTGACCAATTTTTTAGTATTGTGGCACTGGTGTACTTTGAAGCAAATTCTGCATTGCTAGTCCTCTGCTTACACCATTTAAATATAAAATATCAGAAAGTAACAAATTCTTACATAAGGATGGAAGTGCATGTTACATTTTACCTTTTAGTCCTTCAGCTCTGATTGTTCTACTCTGGGAAGCATGAAGTGTGACACCAAATTGAGTATTTCTGTCCGCAACTGTAAATTCACTACCATTGCTAAAATTATTTAAAGTTATATTTTGTATTATTCCGTTAGCTTTATCTTCTGTCCGGCAAGGTAGCAAATATCAGGATTAATTCATATTGAACTTCCTAATGCCTTCAATGCCCCTGCTTCCCATTCCTTTTCCTTTCCCCAAAGCTACTTGCTTTCCCTGATATCCTAAGATTTGTCAATGAAAATGGAAGTGCTGTGGGGACCTAGAGCTGGCATGTGCTATCTTTGCTTGTTAGAACACCTTCCATGGAGAGAGGACAGTGAGATACCTTTTCTAGAAGAGCCTCACTAAAAATGACCAGAGGCTATCACAAGCAGGTGGATTGGTGCTTTGCCCAACTACTCTGCATGTAGTGATGGGCATTTTTGTTTTCAGTTTATTATGGTTTGTTGGATGATTTTCATAGCAAGTACCAAAAATTGCTTGCTTCTAAATTTCCAGGTGAAGAAACATAGGTATTTCTTTAACTTACGTGAGCAGCAGTGTGCAATGTAAGATTCATAATATACAAATTCAAAGCTATACCTATCGTTTCTACTTCTGTGTATGGAAAATGCCTAGTCTTGAGCATTTAACAATTTCTTAACAATATTTTAGCACAACATTTTAAAAAATATGTTTCAACCTTCATAGTTTGTCCTAGGAAGGAGAAACTGTTCTTAACTGAAGTGTATTGCAGACGATAAATATTCAGAGATTTTTTTTTTTACCACATACACATTTTACAGCATTTCTGGACTTTTTCACTTTCTCTCTTGTATCTTTTCCCTCATGCATCTGTGCTGTATCCTAGCCTAGGTTGCCATTAAGGCCTCTCTCATTTCATTTTCAAATGCTATAGTTTTTTATTTGAATAACCTCTTGCTTCTTGCTAAACACATTGCAGAAACACATAGACCAGACAAAAGAAGTACTCTTTCTTAAATATTTATATTGGAAAACTCCTTTGTAAAGTATTTCAGTTGAATGAGATCTCTGTTTCATCCCCACATATTATGGAAACTTAGTCCAAGCTAAGCAAGAGTAAAATAAAAGTTTGCAGGGCAGGGAGTGTGTTATCAAAAAATGTTTGTGCTGCTGATCTAAAATTCTGTTGAGCATTTATTTTTATGTTGCTTTTAGTTGAATGCATAGCTTTGTGTCACTTGTATGTGTTTTAAAGGAAAGTCTTGTACTAAATTCCAGGAAGAGTCCAATCTCAAAGCTGGCTGACCTTTTGGTGTTGACACATTTGTCAAAGTTCTGAAAAAGTTTTAAAACTGCTAAAAGCAAGTACAAGAGAAGCATTCTCTGCATAGACCTAGACACATTCAGATTTCTTTAAAAAGTTAGTGAATTAATGGGGTATTGATTTGCTTTCACAGCTCAATTGCCTAACTTAAACTGATGCTGATAGGTAATATGTGTGTCTGCTAAGTGGGCATATACATCTTTCAGGACTTAAAGGTTTTTGAGTTTGTATATCAACAAGTATATAAAACACTATCCTCTAGCTAACTCCTTTTTTTGTCAGTTCTACTTCAGTCTTGCAAATAGAGATTCTCTGCTTACAGTTTTAAAAATCTAAGGGATTAATATGCAAAATTTAACAGGTGAGTGGAGAAAAGCCAAGAAAGTGAGAGTCAAACCAAATGAGGTATTTTTTAATAGTCACACATTTTACTTTTGTACTGTTGTAATTTTTCTTAGGCATGCCAGA